GAATTTCAACCCTTAACTCGACAAAGTCGGTGATAGCGCCGCCAGCATTATGCGTGCCATCTGCATTGTAGACAGGGATTGGTGATGGCAGTTTCTTTGTAGTGATGTTGTTACCGTGGACAAACTGCGCATCAATAGATGATCCGGTACATCCCGTGTCTAATAGTGCTTTGACTGATGAGCGTTGTTGTGTGTCCAGGGTGGTGGTGATCATGGAGATGTCCATCTGTGTCCCCTTCCTTCCTCGAATGAATCAAGGTTGCTTTCGTAACTCATTCAAGAAGTCTATTGCTTCTTCTTCTTTCATCTGCCTAATTTGGTTCATACAGGCTTCTGAGGCATCGACACTCTTCTTTGAGTGTACCCATTTGGTCAACATTCTAAGCGCTGCTGTTTCTTTGTTGACTATCCATTGGCGGATCCAGGCTGCTGTCCATGGGGTGTGGCGTTGCCACTGCGTAGGTTCAGTCTGGTTCGAGGTAGGAGGTAATTTTTTATTCAGGAGAATTAAGCAAGAGGGTTGAGCCTCTTCGCGCTGTTCTACAGACACCTCTTTCTTTTGTATATACACTGAAACTCCAAACCAAGAACACAAATAGTTCGTAAAATTCTTTTTGGATTGCCTTTTTCCAGTCAAACGGTTCCGCTGTCACTGCAGATGCTTCGTTAAGCGACGTGAGTGGTGTGAATGTATTGGCAGTGGGAACTGCCGGGTTTCCGTGGCCCGTACTTGTTGGGCTTGTTGCCGATTCAGGCAATTGTGTGATAAGTGACCTTTTTCACCACATCGAAAACAGAGGCCTCGGTGTCGTGCCTGATCCAATTCCATTGGCTGTCCCCTGCCGCCAAAGGTAACACCGGTTCCGTCGCGCCGTGTCTGAACTGGCACGGTGGAAGTTGCTGGCACAGGTGCACTAGTTTGTGCTCGCAGCGTGTTCTGCGCCTGTTGCTGTCTCGGCTGAAATTACCCCTGTCGCTGGGGTTGCAGATTCCGTCTATGGTATTGTTGCTGATTCAGGTCGATGCGCGCGACCTGTTGCTTGTAGAGCACGTAGGTGGCTGGGAGTTCTTCCGAAGAATTGTACAGAAGCTGAATGATATCGGCCCGCAGTGCTTTTTCTAGAAGCGATTTTAATTCTTGGAAGTGCGCCTCGAAGTCGTGGATATTTGCCTGGAAGGCGCATAGTTCGAACTTCGAGAAAAACTCTTGCGCTGATAGTGCTCCCATCTGCATCGCCTGCAGCCTATCGTATGCCTCCACTTGTTTGTCGATTAGGAAGTGTACGTCCAGATTCTTCCATAGATCTTTCGTGGTCTGAATTGCGGTATCTTCATCCATATCGTACTTCTTCATGTACGTGGCTACATATTTGCCCACGTGCCCTCTTTTCATATAGGACAAGATCATTAAGACCCTGTTGAACTGCTCAGGTAGTCGCTTCCTCTGCGTTACTACGTAAAGCTTCATCTGGGTTTTCCAAGCGATGTACTTGGATTTCGTGCCATCAAAGGCATCGGGTTTCATTGCACTTCCATTGATGAAAGCGGCATTGTCTTGGTTTTTGGCCATCGCGCCGGGATCAGATGGAGATGAGGGTGGAGTGGGAGAATGTCAAGAAGGCGGGTTCGATGCTTCGGAATCTTCTACGGCTTCTTCTATGGAGTCTGGTGGACCCTCTGGTGATACTTCGGATTCTCCGAGGACGATTGATCAGAAATGCTCGGTGACTGAATCAAAGGTATCACGTCTTTCTCTGGGTTCTGAGCCAGACGCTATTGGTTGAGGGGCTGCGAGGAATTTGTTGGGTTCTCCTGTGGTGACTCTGTCTAGTAGTTCCCCTCGTAATTCTTCTTCACACCGTGGACAATGGGTACTATTTTGTGGTGAATATGGGCACGGTTGTTGCACACAGTATCATACGTTATCGCCGCGTTTGTAGATGAATCTTCTTTCTAGTACCTGATGTGTGTATCCTCTGCAATTACAAGAGGGTGTGGTCATGTGTCAATAGGTCTGTGAGGCTGATTGCAGCAAACCCTGAAACCAATCGTGTTGTAACAACCAGATCAGGGGTAGAGGTTGCCCAAGATGGATATTTCTGACAAAGAACCAAAAACGCTATTTAGGATACAGATCTAGAGATACTGTAGCAGCCCAAAGAGCGATTATGTCTCTTCGGTCCGATGCCCGGAACGGGATCGTCGATCTAACTGCTACCGCCTTTCTGACGCCCAGTTGGTTGCCACGTCGTACTTGGGAATATCTGCTTGCACTGTGCTAAGCGTGTAACTCTGCCTATGGTAGGGCAAAGTACGATTCTAATTGGACAGAGCTCTGTCTAGCCGCCTAAGGGCTAGTGATTACAGAGGTGACTTCGGGGATGTGATGTGGTAAAAGTTGTGCAAGTGCACGGAGAAGGGTTCCAGGGGTTCGGATCTTGATGCGGTAGAATTCGGTAGGGTTAGAAGTTAGGATGAGAGTCGGATGTGCGTATAGGGTGGATCGTCGTGTGGAGAGGATTGTCGTAGGGCAGTTGGTGGAGACTCGAGCTAATGTCAGCAACTAACAATCCAACTGGACTGAGCTACGACAATGCTGGACTGAGCTACGACAATGCTGAGGAGACAGACGAGAGGAATGTGAGTGAGAAAAGACCAGCTTGAGTCTGGCTTGTTATTGAGCAGTACGAGCTCCTTATATACATGTCAGACTCAATACCTAGATTATACTACAAATATACGGAGGCGTATGGAAAGTAAAAGAATACTGTAGAATCCGGGAGAACCATCCGAAATCTGTAATATTCATGACATGTTTGAAGCTGCTTGACCATGGAACTGGTCTGTACTACTCCCAACTTCTCCTGGGTCAACATGAGCCGAGTCTTGTGCCAAATGAGATGCAAATGCAAATGCAAACATGCAAGTGACCATACCTGAGTAGGCTTTGCCTTCCCCTTTCCTGCCCGGCTGGGTGCTGTAGGCAATATCTTAACCTTCTTACTCTTCTTACTCGAAGAACCCTTGAG